GGGTAAGGCGGCGTTGCGGGCGAGACGGCTGGGGTCCGGTGCCCGCTCAGATGCCAGGCTTCGGGCGCAGCAGGCGGGCCTGATGACAGTCATGGCAGGAGTGAGTGTGTGAGAGTGTGTGTGTAAAAGGTATAGCAGAGGGGATGGGGGTGGCGGACGGAGGTGTTGGGGGGTGACATTTCCAGGAATCCCCGCTAGGATCCCTCATCTCTCGGCTGACTCTCCTGGAGAAAGAATGTGATGATGGAAACGGTGAGGTGGGCAGGATGCACTTGGTGTGTGAAGTGTGGAGGGAGGCAGTGGGGTAGGGGCGGGTTTGTAAAATTCTGTGTATGTGTGTGTACGCGTTTGGTTGCATCCACGTTCCCCAAACAGCGCCCCAAACCCAGAGATCTGCCGCTGCCCTGACTTGATGTCACCGGCTAAGACTGTGGGACAGTGTTTGTTATTTTGACCCTGCAACTCTGAGCACAGTCTCTGTTCTGCTCCTGCGTGTGGATTGCCCAGTGTAGGGATTCTCGCTTCCCCTTCCTCTGGCCTCATGACATGGGGATGTGGAAGTGAGCATGTTGCTTTGAGGCACATGGCAGGGAAATAGGATAACCGTTACGCATTCTGGGCTTGCTGGTGTACCCGGTTTTGAAGGGGGCTTCCATCCTCTGATACTACTTCTCTGCTTAGCACCTGTTCCATAAGGGTCTTGTACTCCCTGACTCCGCAGTTTCTATTGTTTTTCTCTTGTCTGACCTGAAGGAGAATAGTGTTGAATGATCAGATTCCTTTTCCTGTCCCCACAACTTTCAATGCTAGCTAGACCTTCTCCTTCCACATTTAAGCACTGAAAACCTTATGGCTAGAGGATGGATGGTCTTCGTATTGGTTCTTTTAGAATGAACTCTGGAGGTGTGTACGTATAGAGAGATGCGGCGGGGCGGGGGGCAGTCTTTAAAAAAGAAGAAAAATATCACACGGAGAAGTGTTTGGTGCCCACCTGGTCAGCGTCGCACAGCCAGGGCGTTTTCCTCAGGAAACAGGATACTTTATTTCTACTGCTGGTGACATCCACTCTCCCAGCTGTCACAATAGCTAGGTGGTGCCGTGTATCATTTGGAAACTGAAATCTCCCAAGACCCACAGTGATGGGGTCCCAGGTCAGTAAAGTCCCTGCTTTCCTACCTGATATAGCCCACTAGTAGGGAATTTGGAAAAATGTCAGGCTGGCAATAACTCACCCAGTGGGAACAAGGACACAGAAATGTATCGAGTCTATGGCTGTTTAATTGTCTCTGCGTGGTAAAGGTAGGTGTGTGTAGGGTTGGGTAGAGATAGGCAGGGAGATGGCATATTCATGTGTATCCAGGGCAGTGTGATTCCTCCTCGCCCGTATTTCTCCTGCGGTATTCACAGGAATGAGTATCTCGACACTTCTGTATTAAAATGTTGTATGTCTAGCTTAACCTGTTTAGGACATATGTCAGTCATAACACCTTAAATTCTACTGCATTGCTGTCGGAATCCACACTGGCTGCCCGGTTCTCTTCAAAAAGCCCATAGCAGTCATGGCTACACAAGTAAATATACAACATGTTGGCACCAGAGGTTTCTTTTTCTTTTTTAAAATTTTTGTTTTGCATTCTTTTATGGGCAAAGGTTGCACGATATCGTTGTTTCATTGAAAATAATAAAACTAGGGCTATCCACATATGCTTTTTTTCTTCCCATATATCTTATTTAATGATGTATAGACTAGGTGTTCTCGAAGCTGTCAATGTAAAGTAAATTTCCCCATGTTCTTCAAGTCAAGCCTTCTAAGATTTTAATATGAGGTTGGTTGTTGGCTCTCATCCAAGATTTAAGGATAGATTTGTAAAAATGAATTTTGAATCTTAGTTCTTTACTCTCTTATTTGTTATGCCAAATCCCTTTCTGAGGAAAGTACTTATGGAATTTAAAAGCCATTCTAAGAGGTTTTGGTTTTTAAAAAAAAAAAGTCATCATCTTTTATATTTGCAAGTAAGACCAGGGATGTAAATGTCTTACAAGAAAGTTTAATAATATGAGGAATTACCAGGTAAATACACTGTTTAGAGAAAGAGAAATTACACAGCAGCATAATCGATGACTCAGGAATCAGTGATTTCTTTTCTAACATAAACGTGATCATTTTTATTTTTATTTATCTTTTTGAGACAGGGTCTTCCTCTGTCACCCAGGCTGGAGTGCAGTAGTGTGATCATAGCTCACTGCAGCCTCAAACTCCTGGCTCAAGCAATCCTCCTGCCTCAGCCTCCTGAATAACTGGGACAATAGGCACATGGCACCACACCCAGATATTTGTTTATTTTTTTCAGAGATAGAGTCTCACTACGTTGCCCAGGTTGATAGTTTTAAAAATGCAATATCTGGCTTTTCTAAAGATTGGACTGGTATAAGGTTCATGAGACAGCTCTGGTAAATGGTTGTACCTTTTGCTGTGGCCTGCAGCAAGCCATTTTTTTGTGCATGGATGCCTTTCCTTCACTTAAAATAGCATCAGTGCTTTTCTCTACCATTATTGAGTCTCTTAAGGGTTTTTTTTTGTTTTTTGTTTTGTTTTTTGTTTTCATTTTGGTTGTTGTTATTGTTTGTTTGTTTCAGAAGACTTAGGAGTAAGAGATATTTGAAAATGACCTCTGGGTCCAAAAGGAATTAACTGTATGTAGTACCTTGGGGAGACAGGACTTTTAGCCTACAAAGAAGAAGTAATTGTTGCTAAAACTGAGAGAATTTCAAGCAATGAAATCTGAAGTTAACTCTCTGGGTTACAATAGTTAATTTGCAAACATCTTGCCTCCTGTGTCTCAGACCCACTGTACCTAGGGGTATAGGGGACAGGGAATGTTGAGAAGGGTTGGAGATTCAAAGAATGCTAAGTCTTAGATCCTGCCCAGAGGTGAATCTTGGTCTAGAAGGAGAAAAGAGGAATATGTGTTACTAACTGTAAAAATAGTGAAAAAATGATTAAGTGCTGAAAAAGCAGTATTCCTGCAGGGCTGTGGGAATTCACAGGGTACAAAATGACTTCTGATGGAAGAATCAGGGAAGGTTACATGGGATATAGCATTTGAGCTGTGATTAAGGTGGCATTTGGGTTGGCAGAGAAGGAAGGGCATGCTTGGGGGAGGAACAGCGTAGCACAGGCCTGGCAGTGGAAGATGTATGCCTACATAGGGAACAAAAAAATGGTGTGCTTTGCCTGCAGCACTAGGAATGCCAAGAGATGTAATGAGGGATAAAGCAAGAAAGAGAGGTTTGTTCAAGGTGGTGGAGCAACTTGTATGCCAAGCTAAGGAGTGTGGATTTTGTTCAGTAAGGACTGGGGAGCTATAGAAGATTTGTGAGGAGAAAGATTGACAGTATCAGAACTGTGCTTTGGGGCAATAATTTTGTAGTATTATGTTGGATGGAATGACATGGGAAAAGACTGGCAGGAGGGAGACCAGATAGACCCTATTGTCAAAGTAGGGGAAAGATAGAAAGAGGCAGTGGGAGGGAAGAAGGGAACACACCTAAGAGGTGGTGTGCAAGAATTATCTGAGGAGCCTGAACAGTCACTGGAGAGTGGGAGGGAAAAGGGAGGCCAAAGATCATTGTCAGGCTTAGCTGAGAGAGCAGTTGGGTCATTTTCAGAAAGAAGATATAACAGAGGATAAGGAAGAGGAGAGAAATTTCTTTTTGAGCATGACAGGCTTATCCAAGTTAAGGGACTAGAATACAGAGGGAGGTTGGAGCTACAAAGAGATTTGTAAGTCATCTACTTAGGAGCGATTTTGATATCCCAGGAATCACTGATAAAGAAAATGAAGAAAGAAGCAGCAAAGGCAAAGATAGGATCCTTAAGGGATGTCTGTGTGTTGGAGGGGAAAGAGAAAGAAGAGGACAGGGACCATGTTAAACAAGGGCAGTTGGAGAAAAATGATGGAAGTAGAGTGGTACAGTGTCATGGAAGCTGGCAGGGGTGAGGAGAGCCCCTGTCACTCACACAGCACACCCC